CAGAAATACTCTGTTACTTAACTGAAACTTTTAAAAACAATCAAATTTTTAGTCATTCAAACATTTAAGGGTGTGAAGTAAGGTCAGATTATTTTCTACTCACTGCCAGCATCAGACTACACAGAGGAAATTAAGAACTTCATGAAACTATGGTAAGCAAGATAAGGTAGACCAATGGCGGTACCTCATCATCTTAGCTGAGCCCAGTACCTCATGAAATCTGATGTGCTCCTGATCAGAAGTGGAGCAACTGTAAAAATATAATGGAATACAGCTCAAAAGGAAAAGTAGTTAAGTCTCTATCACTTTCTTTTTATTTTAAAGATGCCTTTGGAGTAAGACACAGCTCTTTGGCTGTTACAGCTGAACCCGGGACAGTCTTGCATCATTGTGGTTTGAGAGTTTCTGATTATTACTCTTTAACTTTGGAAAAAGAAGATGCACTGCCAACAACCAAAAGCAAACTGTATTTATCCACACATAATTCGCCCATAACTTAATCATGAGTTTTGATCCACAAAATATAAACTGTTCAGGGTCAGTGATGGATTATCCCATCAGAATCACAGTAAATAAAGCCATTACAATAGGAAGAAAATTGGGCAGTTAGAATGCTTTTGTTCCTCTTAAGTAATGCAAATGTGAAATAAACAAATGAGTTAAACAGCTCTCATGCATGATTTTTCAAGAGAAAATATTAACTATTTGAATGTCAAGGTTAAACTAAGATTATGAAGATCCATAGCACAAAACAACAGCTGAGGACAGTCACTAGCAGACTGTGAAATCCAAAAACAACCTGTAGTTCAACATAGCCATATATAAGGAAGAGTTTTGAGGGATTATTTTTCTGTTGTTGTTATTACATAAACTGATTGACTATACAAGGGACATGAATCAAGACATTTTGATTAAGTAATGTTTTAAGATTTTTAGCTTGACTTAAACTGTAGACCATCACAGTACCAACACAGTGATCAGCAGAACTTAGGCTCTGGATGGAAAGCGCTAGCTCTGGGGTTTTGGTTGCAGGAAGGAGGGGGCAGTGGTCTACATTCTTGTCCAACCTGAGATTTTGATATCTGTCTCAGACGCTGAGCAAAGATGCCAAATTTTCTAATTTGAATCCTTCTTGCGCCACTGAATAAACCCGAGAGATTAAACATGCAAACCTTTCAGATGGTTATTACCTCAGTGCTATCAAAACCCCAAAATACTCATTTTTTTGTAAAAATGCTCTAGGATTGAAAATTTTAATGAGAAACATCTGAAGTGAGGCTTTTCAGAGAGCAGTGGGATTGCCAGGAAGGACGAAAATAAGAGTGAAATGCTGATCTTATTTCACCAGTAGAAACCTACAGTAACTTCAATGCAACTGATACATTCTGCTGGATTCCAGCTGGGGTAATTGAGATCAGCATTTTGGGAAAAGGAAATATTCAGTAGTGAAGAGCTATGCTAGTCTTAGAAAATAGAAAAGGGAGGCTTTCAGGGCTTTCAGTAGATAGACTTACTGAATCTGCACATTCACACAAGTCAAAAGATTGTATTACTGTTAGAGTTTACAAGGCACTGTCATTTCCAAACTACAGTTTCCCCTCCAAAATTATGTTTTTGTATGAGAGGAAGTATCACAACTGCAGGAACCTCAAAAAACATACTCTGTTAAATAAAAGGAAAAATTAAAACAACCAAAATGAAATGTAAACAACATTAATGGTCTTACTTAAAGCCACAAAACCTTAGAAACCCAGTAAAGGCTGAAAATCCAGCTTGACATTGTGGTCTCCCTCTCTCAAGCTCGTGTGCCTTTTACTCATTTGGATTTCTTTTTCTTCCCCACCCCCTCTGCACAAAAGATAAGGGTAAATCTGATTAAAGAATGTTGTGTAAGAAAATCACATTTCCTGTAATACTTTTCAAATTTTTCCAGTTACTTTTCAAATTTCAGGTCTTGGTAATGGAAATAATATTACACAAAATCCAGATAAGTTCCCAGGTCAAGTAAGAATACAAAAATCTTAAACTATACAAAGGATTATCCAAAGTTTATCCAGCCCTCACACACAGCAGAGCCTAAAACAGAGTCTTCTCGAATTCAATGCATATTTTTTAAATAAGAAAAAGATTTGCCCTCGAGGCAAATTAACTGAGTGGTCTGGCACTGTCTCAGTATGCTATCATGTCTTGCTCTCTTACATATCCAAGTTCCTTTCTTCCAGGTTGCCGAGAGCAGAGGCAAGACTAGCTTCATGAATAGGCAGCTTATCCATAGTATAAGGCACTGGTCTCGAAAATGGGGTACACATACCCCAGGGGGGGCACAAGACAATCAACTGGACTGCAGGAAGAGAATATTTTTTGTACTATTAGCAAATAAAAATTGTGCTTATTTCATTTTTATTTTATCCTTTTTGACTTTCTATATTTGGTTACATTTTACAATGTCCTTAATATATTAGGACAGTAGCATATCTATATTGTTTATAAATAAATATACATGTATTGAGGGTGTATGCTGAAAAATATTTTACTGATTATTAAAAACTAGTGAATACATATAATGCTTGAAAATATCTTCACCTGTAGGCCCAGACTGAAAAAATACAGTTTCAGGAACTTATATTTCTTCACCTTGGCTGAATTTGACCTATTACCACTCATGATTTTATGAAAATACAGGGGCACCTACACCTTATTCCACCATACTACAGGTTTAGCTTAACTATCCTTCATGCTGTAAACTTTTAAATGGTCTTGACCAGCTTGTGCAGAAAACAGAATTTCTATTTAACACACCAATTATCCAAAAGTCTGAAATTAACCATTTGAGACTCTTTACAGAATATGTCAGTTTATCAGGGCCTTCCATTTTACTGTGTAACTCAGAGAACAAAAGGTCAAAATATAAACCTTAGAAAACTGATCGTAAGAAAAGAAGAAAACCCTTCGATTTCCCCAGACTCCAGTCTATTTCTCTAGACTCCTTTCTGTGTTGATTCTCATTATCTTGCAATAACTAGTTTCTGAGAAAGATCAAAATCATTAGCAGAAAAATACTTTAGTTTTTAAAAAAGGAACAGAAACCTAATGGGAATAATTATTATTATATAGCTTCCAGACAATCTAACAGATACAGGCGGCTTGGATCATTCTTACAAACATTAGATTAGCATTCAATTTCAGGTGCTTTATTTTAAGTTACCCTTAGGATGTGAGGATATATTTTTAGCTTGGTTTAGATCAGTGGGAATTTTGACATAGACTCCAACGGGCCTTTATCTTCTGCAGTTTTGCCTTAACAAGGTATCTGTGTATGCCAAAAACTGCATCTTGATTTATTTGTAAATTATTGCTAAAAGTATTGGCTTAACATGCAATGGGTTTAAATTTTCAGGTGGTATAAATCAGCTTAACAGAAGAACTATGTCAGTTTAATCCACCTGAGGATGTACCAGTGAGTTTTATCCTCTTTAAGATCATTCACAGTAGTAAAGTAGTTGTTTTAAAATCTTCCTGGTCTTATACATCAGACAGTGACGTGGTTTCACCCAGGGCTACTGCATTTTTGTGGGTATAATCTGCAAATCGAACACACCCGTCTTTCCAAAAATGCATTATTCCTTGAAAATAAGTACACAATTAACCTACGTTTTTCATTCAGTCCTGGCACCACTGAGTAACCAGGTGCTGTATTTAAATTTAGACAACACAAATGTAAACATGCCTTTGCAGCACTGCTTACAATAGAGAAAACTTTGAGCAACGGTGATTCATTTCTACTAAAAAGTTGCTTCATATTAGCGTTTGTGTGCAATTCTTTATGTTAGTTGTTGACAACTAGCAACAACTGTGCAAGATCCTCCTTCAACTTCCTTTTTAAGAAATAATAAGAAAATCTCAATCCATTTTTACTTAATGTAGTGTTTGCATGATAAAAAAGAAATTTGCCAGTTGAGGATTCAGGCATTTAATAGACTAGTTAAGAGAAAGAAAAGACATAGCCTTAAGAGAAACAATTAACACAATTGCAACTGTTAAGTAACCTCTTCCCCCTGTGACTTCTATAGACATATTTACTCCATGCTGCTGCAGAGCAGAAGAGGGAGGTTCTCCTAGTTAACCCGTAAGAATTTAGGAAATGTTAGAAAATATTGGTATTTGGCTTATTTTAAAATAACATAAACCATTTGAAAGACAACGATTAAGGAATATAAGATATGGGTATGTTTAGTTTAGAATTCTTGTCTAAATGTTTCTGTGGGTGGCTAAACTGAAATATTTTTTATGACACAAAAAATCTGCTCACACAATTACCTTGTTTCTGGTTCTTTACAGTAGCTGACAATGATTCATAATTTTAATTCATAATTCACTAAACCTGCTACAAGTCAAGTCATTCAAACAAATTAACATGCCATTTAAAAAATTAAGCAAGTCTACTGACCTCTGTGTACCACAACTATCCGGAGATAAGACCTCTCACATGCTTATAAAAGGTTTGAAAAAATGAAAAATCTAACAAACGCCAAGGTTTGTTCCCGCAACAGGTAAGAAAGGAACAATATTCTGTGGTAAACTGTCAAGGGTACTTTTGGAAAAAAGTAATTACATGATACATATTTCAGACTGATTCGAAGATGGAGGGAATTTTCCCATAGATTTTGCTAGAACAAGGATTACGAAGTATGGGCCAAATTTTTCTAGACATAGTTTCTGACTTCTGCGGTATGACAATAGCAAGGAATAATTCCAGTTAGTAAATGTTAATGCCTTTAAACTACTGAGAAAACTGAACCTTACTTTCTCTGACAACATTCTAAGACCCATATTTACATGTATTGTTCCAAAGTCAAAGACTATAGTCAGTGGCAAATCAATGCAGCAATATCTAGAAGATACATTGTTTTGGTATAGGGTAACAAAGTGCTTTCTAATTTACTGCAGTGAATAAACAAAGCATTGAAATGTATGAAACCCAATTTATCTATTTCACTGACCTTGAAGCTGGCGTCCTTTGTACAAATCCTTTGTTTTGGTTGGGTGTGCTCTGGCACCATTATCACACTTTGGTTGTTCATACCTAAGGAACAAACAAGGAGAGAATAAAAACAGTGAAGGTTAATTTGATTTAGGACTAATTTATTTCTAATTATCTAGTCCAAAATAAACATGTACCTTCTTTTATTCAGGGAATCATAGAATAGGATTGTTTTTCATTCAGAAGGGGCAATGCAAATTCATCTGCCTATTTTCCACTTACTCAGAGAAGTTAGTATATCTTTATTCTTCTGGGGTTGATACAAAACTAAAAAATCATTTTCTGTTCCAAAATCTAGGTTTCCCAGAGAAGCTGTGGCTGCCCCATCGCTGGCAGTGCTCAAGGCCAAACTGGATAAGGCTTTGAGCAACCTGGTCTAGTGGAAGGTGTCCCTGCCCATGGCAGAAGGGTTGGAACTAGATAATCTTTTAGGTCCCTTCCAACCCAAACCATTTGATGATCCTATGACATGATACGATTCTACCTGTACTTTCAACAAACACTGGCAGCATCACCAGCAGTATTTTTTTTATGAGAGTCTGGGAGACATGGGAGCATCTCTCCTTTTTTCTTATATTCCACTACAGACACATGGTAGTTTTTCACACACTTTTATATTTTATACATCTTTCTTTGAAATTTTGAGCTCCCCAAACTACATTTACTGTATGGCACACTAAAATGTCTAATTTAAGTATACTAATACAAATTTTTAAACCAAAATACTCTTGGTGTAGATGGTGGCTACATCCAGGCGGCAATTAATAACGGTAAGCCCAGGCCAGACTGCCCTTCAGAACAATACTTCAGTATTCTGATCTTAATTATCTAGAAAAAATTAAAAAACAATATCACTTTTATTTTGAGTGCTTAATGTATTTTCACATCATCTGATGAAACTGCCCACTGTCCCATCAAATTCTGGCTGCTGCAAGAAGATACAGTGTTTTTTTCATGGACATGGGAGAACTACAGGCCCTTTTTTTCCCCTAAAGAACGGCAGGAATAGAAGCTGCTTTGATAGCATGGGTTGGATTCAGATACCTGATGGATGACCACTTCAATCAGCCAAGAACAGAGTGAAAGGGAAATCTCTGAGCAGTACTCACTAATGCATTATCTGGCAACCAGCCTGGTCCCCAATTAATCTGATACCTGACTCTGCATTCCCCTCGTCCTCTTCCGTTACTGTTACTGTTCTGTGCCTACGCTTTCTTTTTGGCCCCTACTTTTCTACCGTTTTGGCTTTTTTGTTAAAGACACATGTAGTTAATCATAGACAAACTAAATCTACTAAAGACCAGTAAGTGTTAAAATGCTGCAATATGAAAACTCTATGTCTAACTCTTAAAAGCAACTGAAGAGAGAAAATGAATCATTAGAAATTTACCGTACAGGATCAGCCATGCTAAGAACTGATAAGAAAAACACACTTGACTCAGTTTTCATGGGGAAAGAGTGGGAAAGGGATAGTATGTCAGAATGGAGCACTGTTAGGTTAAAATTAATGTAGTCAAAAGACATCTCAAGTTACTCTTTTGAATTTTAAAGAGGAAAGAATCCCTAGCAGCGAATGTATGTCTGGATTTGGCAAGGGCTTATGAAGCCTACTTTATACCTCTGAGCAGTCTGCTGGGAAGCACTGAGATTTACTGAGGTGTACAAAGCAGTGTGGGATGGAGGCTTTCACAGGGATTCTACAGTGTCAGCAGCCTCATGAAACAGCTGATTTATATACTTTTTTAAGTTTAGAGTTTCCTGTGGAAGTGGATTGGAGATTACTTTGCCCATGATCCTAGCTGCTAAAAAGTCACATGTGAGAACACAGACTCATGGCTCTGCTAAGCAAAAAAGGCTGAGTCACACTGTGATGTTCAAGAGGCATTGAGAGCCAGCTGGTGAGGACCATACTGATAGACTTGGGGTAATGGTTGATTTAAACCTTTAAATGAATTATTTACTTTTAGTCACACAGATGTTTCCAGCTTTATACCACAATCTCACCTATTTCTTGTGCATTTTACTGTCATGAATGACCTACAGTGGTTCTTCATTCACATATCTTTATTTTAACTCTGGAATGAGATTATTTTTTTTGCCCTGGAATGCTTTCACTAACAAATTATTTATCTTTTTTTCAGATGATGGAATATTAGAAGGTAAATGAACATTAATAACTTCCCTTCATTTTGCAACTACTATTTATTTATTGTGGTATTCACAGCCTGCTGATATAACAAATTTCATCGTTATGGATGTATTAAAAATCAACAACATCTAAAATGCTATGCTATTCTGGCTACAGCTTCCCAGATCTGCCTGTCCTTTCTCTGTTGTCCCCTAATGGCATGATCCAGATTTGCACAACAGAGATTCCAGGATTCAATGCATCCATCTTGCTACCAGGAGTACTAATGCCAGTGGTTCCTGCAGCAGCATTTTAACAGCTAGTCTTCCAATTTGTATTTGGCAATGGGAAGCTGGAAGATAGCATACACTATTTTTCACGAGCATCTGGCTCTTTAAACTGTGAAAGACACACATGTTCACTCTTTTCACTCTGTAAGAAAGAATTACAAAAAGACAACTGCATCCTTACCATACTCTGACCCCTTCCATCTGCCAGACGAAAAAAAAAGTTTACCAATACAGGGGAGGAAAAAAAAAAAAGTTGGGATTCCAGCCCACCTAAATCTTTCTCAGAAATGAGGTCTAGAAGCTCCTTTTAAACTCCAGGCAGTAATCCCACCTGCTTGTTTACCAGATTCCTAAATACACCAGTCATTCTTTACTTAGTATGAAACTTAAAATTCAGTACTCTGCTTACCCATCTGTGCTCAGAAATGTCCTCTCCAGGGACATTACTAAACATTACTTCCTCAAAGCTCCACTGAGAACTGCCTGTTAAGTCCAGCAAAGCTGAACAAATTAGAAATGGTTAAGGCAGTGTGTGCTTGCAGCAAAGAAAGCCAACCTGGGCTGCATCGAAAGGAGTGTGACCAGCAGGTCGAAGGAGGTGATCCTGCCCCTCTACTCTGCTCTCATGAGACCTCACTTGGAGTATTGTGTGCAGATCTGGTGCCCTCAACATAAAAAGGACATGGAACTCTTGGAACAAGTCCCGAGTAGTCAGCATAGATTTATGAAGAGGAAATCATGCTTGGCCCTGCAAGCCTTCTATGGTGAGATGGATGGCTCAGTGGATAAAAAGAGATGAGCAGATGCCATCTTAAATTTAGCATGGGTTTTGACACTGTCCCTGATTACGTTCTCACAGACAAACTGCTGAAGTATGTGCTAGATAAATGAACATTGAAGTGTGCTGAAAACTGGCTGAACTGCCAGTCTCAAAGAACTGGGATCAGCAGCACAAATTTCAGCTCAAAGCCAGTCACCAGTGGAGTGCCCCAGAGATCAATACTAGGGCCAGGATTGTTTAGCTTATTCACTAATGAACAGAATCCTGGAACAGAGAAAAACAGTAGCAAGTTTGTCGATGATACAACACTGGGAGGAGCTGCTGATACACCAGAGTTTAGTGCTGCCATTCAGAGAGACCTTAGCAGGCTGGACAAATGGGTTGGCGGGAATCTCATAAAGTTAAGAAAAGGCAAATGCAAAAATTCCACACCTGGGAAAGAGTAATCCTCTGCAACAGCACAGGATGGAGGCAAAAAAAAATGGATTTGGACTCAAATTAGAGAATAGGTTCCATAAAATGATTTAAAGTATAATTCAAAGAAGGATTAGCACTAAAAATTAGAATCAGTGAACAAACCTAGAAGTAGAGAATGGAGAACTAGCAACAAAAGGAGCCTCTGGAATCTCTAGAGGACATGTCTAAGTCCTCAAACAATATGCACAGTGACCCTACAGTTTCAGGATCAAACTTAAATTATTCTGACAGTTTATGGATCTCAACTTGCCAGAAACAGCAGATCGACAGTAACTTTGAGTCATGCTCACTTCAGCTGGTACTGTAGTTGGCATGGTCTAGAATATGGCATAAGCAGCAGTCATTAAATCAGCACTTGAAGAACATGTGAAAAACACTCCCCAAGAATATAATACTTTATGGCAAGTGGCTTATAATGTTTCTTCACAAACCCTACGCAAATGATAAAAAAACACTTTGCTTAAGCTTGAAAATATTTATGATTGCATCAAGATACCCATACTGCTCGCCAGCTTTACATGAGCTTCTATAGCATTCCTATAAGGGCCAAACCTCAATAACCAGCCTAAATAACATCCTTTGGAACCTGATACTTGCCTTGCCTGCATCTGCTGTATGTGGCTCACAACACTTTACCATGTATCCGGCTCAGCTGAGACGACTTAACTCCAAGCTTCTATTAATAACACACTAAAATGATATTTCCCCTTTATGGGTTCTCAAGCAATCGTTCCATCAAAAACAGTCATATGAAATAGTTGAGGAGGATGCTGGAAAAATAACTGTATGTTTCTGAGGTTGGACATGGTTTCTGTTATAGACCATCTTACTTAGTTCTTCTACATTCAAGCTAAGGAGTGTGAGGTTTCCTCTGGGCTTACTCATCTGCTCCAAGACTTGGCTTCTCAGGACACAGTAAAAGTAAAAGGACTAGTGAAGCAAACTGCCTGTGACATTGCAGTGAAAGTCTGTGGCCACATGACCTTAACTTTTGATGTCTCTTATATATGTATTTCACTTCATAGTGGAAGAAAACTATAATGCCACCAGCAATAGAAATCTACATGCTAGTTAGTACATGCACACTAAGGCATCTTCTCACTACAAATTTAGAGCAATGAATGTGTATTCACTTACCTGGTTGATGTACCTGGGATAGGACGCCCCGTATCCACCAGCACACACCAGCAGTAGCCTGTGGAAGGATGACACTGCACTGGTTTGTAGAGGCCGCCCTGAGCACACTCTGGAATGAACACATTGTCTTTCTGGGGCTGTTTAGCTTCCTCTAGGGCTGACTGAAGTTCTTGATCACATGATGATGCTTTTGAAAGGAAAAGAAAAAATACTGAAGAAGGTATACGGAAAGGGCTTGCTAGATTTATCAAACACTTTTTTTGAGTTTGCTTTTAAGGATTGAATTCTAAGTGGCTCACTACAGCTCAAATAACAGCCACATTGGTTTATGCTGTCTACTGCCAGCCACTTTAGCTTCCTTTTCATACAGCTGCTTCATAATACAGTCCTAATAACACCTGGACACCCTCTTTCCCATACTAGATGTAGTCTATGGTTAACCAAATACCTTCTCTGCCACCTTAAAAAACATCCTGACCTACTCCACAGCCCCTAAACCACTGACTGTTTTCCAAGGGAACAGAAAAAAATCCAACTTCTTAGAATTCCTTACACAAATTCATCTAGATAGTCATTTAGATATTTATATTCTGCTCTTTTCAGTTTTGGAACAACATCTTAATACATTGAGAAAAGCCTTCCGCTTCTTTTCTGGCAATTCTGGTAGTGGTGATGTATAATTTCCTCTAGAAACCAAAGACCCATGAGAAAAAGTAATAATTTTTATATCTTCATTAACAATATGTTCCAGATCTTTTCTGGATATTAGAAAACCTTACATAACTACACATTCCTAGCCTTTATGTGAAACTATGAATCAGGAGGCAAAGAGCAGAAATGCCAGGGCCTGAGAATGCCAGTCAGTTCACACTGAGCGGAAAAAAAACCCTCTGCTGAGGAGGTTCTGATCACTGCTAATTGGTATACGTGGCACTGCAGTCATAACAAATCACTGTCTATTTACTCAAGCCATTATTTCTTCAGGAGCCTTAAAGTCAGTCTCCTATCATGTGAAATTTATATAGGTTAATAAAACAGCTTTTGTCTAATTCCCAAATTAACGCAGTGAACAAAATTAAATATTTGAAAACCAAGAATGTTAAGCACTCTATAGACACAGATTATTGACAGAAAAAAATTCAAGTTACTAGAATTTCAATCAATAAAAGCTTCTCCTCAGTCAAAGACTAGTGGCATACTTATTCTCTGAATCTGTCACAAGTCTTGATTTTTCACTGTTAACCAACAGAAGGATAAGTTGAATCCTGACCGGATTTTCTAGTGAGTTTCAGCTTCAATCTAATCTCATTTACACTTTATCTACAGGGTTCAGAAAATGCTTTGCTAATTGTAGACAAAACCTAACAGAAAGTATTAGTATTATTTATGTCCAGAATGCTACTGCTCCTTGCCAGCTTTTTGCTAATGCAGATGACCAAAACCAGTAAGTCTTCTGAAAAGGTGGCAGGAAGTTAAACACCTTCATACTTTAAATGGGAAAAAATTCCATTGATGCAATACCCTGGTTTCCAAAACAGTGTGTTTTGTTCCAATCCATGTAAAAGGTTTAAAAAACAAGCTATCACTTGCTAGCACAATTACAAGGCACAGACTGAGCGCTGAGCATGCTTTTTCGGTTCTTTGGTTGATATTTTTCTGTTCCTCTTTTGTTTCACACAGTATTTGAGCAGAACCGCTAAACTGATTTTGCATGTTTCTGTCTTGATCTACCCGCTGACAAGCTGAGACTGAATAGCTCTCAAAGCACCAGTGTTTAGATAATAAACTTTATGCAGCAAAACAGTGTAGTGAGGACAGAAAGAATCCTTTAAAAAAGGGAAATAGGTAATTATTTGCATGTTAAAACCTTCACAGAAATAGCTATGGTTTCACAAATTAGAAATCTGTCACCAAGACCCTCTTCAAGTAACCAAAATAAATCTTCCCCTTGCTGAATCAGGATTATGATGATTATCAAGTTACGAGGCATGACAACCCTGGAAAATACATTAGTTGGCTTAGTTGTTCACTTCTTATGTTTTGTATATAATCAAGCAAAAAGGAGCAAATGGGGTGAAGCAGCTGCAATGAAAGGTTGGAAACCATTACTCCTCCTTAAACACCACTGAATTCTTTTCTCTTTCATACTGATAAACCTTGGGAACATTCCCTTAGCTACTGCGACCTTCTTTCATTTTGCATCCTTGTAACTAGCAACACAATCTGGCAGATGTGCAGGTATTATTATCTCTCATAAACCCAGAGGAGCAATACATTTTCGTGCTCTCAGCTTTGTTTAGAAAACACACTGGTGTATAGAGACTTCACAGTCAGGTCATCCAGACAGACAAAATGTAACAGCATTGAGGGGCTGTGGTGGAGAATTCCCAGCGCAGAAGCAGATATAGACTGTTCAGCCGCTAGCATAAGCTACACCACCTAATTTCTTGGAAGCTCTAGTTTCCACTGATTGAAACAACCAGAGAAAGACTGCATTGCCAACTCAAAACCACTGGAGTAGAGGACCAGTGCAGACATGTGTGATGGGGTGATTTTAGAGCAGGTGTTACAGATCTAGCTAAATTGTCTTACTCTCCTGATTGACTTGCCTAGGCAAGGTTTTTTGCAAGGTGCTGCTCAAGCTAGAAATTTCTCTCTTGCACTAGGTCAGGTTGGTTCTGGTCCTCTTTTTCCTATATGTCTGGTTTGAAGCTTTAGAGATACAGAAAAAGCAGTATTATGGGAGAGATGTTAAAGGAGGGTTGTAAATGTAGCTTACAGCTTTAGGAGGAACCGTCAGAAGACCCATGGAACTTAACACTGCAAGTGAGATTAGAAACAGGACAGCCAGTAACAACAATCAAAGGGTGGTTTAAACATTAAAAGGAATGTTCTTACTTGTAGAAGTCTATGAAAAAACAGACCAAAAAGCCCAGGTGTCATACAAAACACCAAGGTAAAACTTCTGTACCTGGGAGGACTGTAGTGATGAAAAGTCTGTCTTTGAAGAGCAGCATCAGCAGAGGCATTCAAGGCAAGAAAAACCCCATATATAAAAGAAACGATGATATTTTCAGGAAGTATCTTCCTCTTGTTGGAACCTTTAATCTCTTACTCTTCTCTTACGGATGTTAATTTGTAACAAGAGGAGGAATTTATCATTAGTCCTAAATTAGGTGTTGGAAAAATATGGATTATTTTTGACAAATTGGAAAAAATATAAATTAGTGTAATGGACTGGTCACTGAGTCTGTCAGGTTGCTGTATGACAAATGACTGAGCTTCATTACAAATCTGCTGAATCCAGTTCATCCATTTTATTCACCAAAAGTGCAGAAAAGTATATCATTTTCTTGCCCTACAGAATGGCTAACAAGCTTCAGATCAACTATCAGGCTTACCTATAATATTGCCTGCTGTTCCCAGAACCAGAATATTAGCTTTCTTTGTAATTTCCTCTCTGAGGGAACCATTCATTCACTTTCACACTTCTCTTTCAATTATTTACAACAGGAGTGCTAGAAAGATGCAACTGTAGCTCTGGGATGACTAAGAGCTCTTATCACAGCACTACCATGCCAAAAATAATTGCCTTTGTAATGTCAGAAGATTCATGGTCAACAAACATTCATTTGCCAGGAGAACCAGTGATAAATGTCATTAACTTAGAAAATGTCTGACAGTTTCTCCAAACAATCTGACAACTACAAAGATCTGGAACCATAACAGATGGATGCCAGAAGTTCATAAAATTAACAGTACAGAATAAGATGTATGCCACAATACAAGTAGGATAAATATCTTAATCATTAAAATGCATCAAATTTTCTATGGAATGAGTTACTACAATAATACTCATTCTGGAAAGAGAAAAGCACTGACATTCTAGCTTCTTTTCATGGAATATGCTTATGTTGTTATTATTTCACTTATTTCCTTCAGTTTGATCTTGCTGGAAAAAGTGTTTGTTTTTCCAAGCATCTTAGTTCAATAAAATAATTAGATGGCTGAAAAATCCTTTCGACATAGTCTACAATGTTAGCCAGCCACACTATGACTCAGTTGCGATCCTTAATTTCAGGTTGATAGATCTTCTTGCAATTTCTAGACAAAACTATTTTATTCCAGGTTCGTGAGTGAATCAACACACACATTTGTCATGTAAGCACAGTTTTACACCAAGAGCCTTTGCACCACCCTATGATTTACTCTGAACAAGGACTTTCTGACTGATTAAGTAAAACTGCTGCTCACTGAGTTTAAAAACCTGATTAAATATAATGTATATTGAACTTCTTATGTCATATTGCTATTCTATTTCTTCCCTTTACAGTTTAAATGGTAGTTACTAAATATACTTTTCCCTGTTCCGGTTCAAGATGCCTTCATAGTCCACTAAAAACAATTAGCTAAAATGTTGCATCTTTTTGTCAACGTAAAAGATACTCCAGCTAATGACAAATTCTGTGGACAAGTTTCATGTTTCATATAAAATATTCAGCCAATTCTTGTTGCCAGTTACCCTTAAGAAAACAGTCTGGATTTCAATGAAATAAGTTATTTTACGTGAACAGAAAAATACCTCAGCAGTAGTAAGGTATAACACTGTGAATCTTTATTTGTGAAAGACTCCATTTATTCATCTCTGATGGGTTACTTAGACTGTTAATTAATGTTTATATGGGGATGTCATAGAGGAGAAAAGAGGTGGCATTTCTGGAAAAGTCATTCTGAAGAAACTACATAACTCTGCATTTGTTTGTAGCACATCTAAACCACTGATCACTTACTATATAAGTTATGATTATCACCTTGTTGGTCTTGTAAGAGGAGATGTTTTAGCCCCTTGTTTCAGAAATTCTGGCAGTTGTTGTGCTGTGTCTTATCACAGTTTCTCCCAGCGTGGAATTTCATGATTACAAACAATTTGGGAGTGGTTTTTTTTTTTGCTTGAATGTAAATCATTATATGTACGTCTAAATTTCAGTATATTATGCAGAAACAAGTTGCCAAATCTGCATAAAATTACAAAGGCATCTGTATGCTACTTTAACATTTCCTGCCACTATACAAACATTTCCCTCCAATTTCCTTAACCCTACAATGTGTATATGACAAACAGAATCCATTCCAAGAAATTTTGGTTTCGGTTGGTTCCTGCTCTCTCCTTTTCTCATTATCATAATG